ATTTTTTTCTTACCATAAAGCTGAGAGCCCAATGATATGAAGAAATAACTAGACTTGAAAACATTGAAAATGTTGATTTCTTAAAATCTTAAATCAATATTATTAATCTTGGAACTTTATGAAAAATTACATTGCACAATAAAGGTAAACAACTCTTCTCGGATACCAAAGATAGATAAACAAAATACGGAGATTCTCTCGAAACTCAAACTATAATAATGACAGATCCCAGGTTTCACTCTTCTATCATCTATATCAAGTTTCGAACCTAGTCTAGCTAGTTCGTCCGCAAGCTCATTATCATGCTCATTGCAGTACACACAGTCTAATAGTTTGGATAAATTTGGATAAAATTTCAAAAAAATTTACACAAAGTTTTTAGTGAAATTTCAATTTTGTGGAATTAAAATTTGTTATCACCATTTTTCCATTATAGAATCTAATTGCTAACTACTTTTGCCCACATTAGAAATATCTTAACAAATTCTATTGTTAGACATTACAATGAACCTTTAATTTTGTATGGGCGTGTAACACAAACGAAAACAAAAAAAAATCATTTCCTTAACAAATTCTTATTCAAATAACTCTTATTTATGATTAAAATATTGCTTTCCTTTCATTTTCCATTTGATAACAAACAAAATACATATGTTGGTAGGGCATTCCTCGATTAAGAAAAACACACCATTAACACGACGACAACATCAGAAATCATTACCACCAAGAATGTTAACAACAACAATAACTAATACGAATAACAAATCTAAAATGAGCAAAGTTCTCAATATTAGATTTCTTATCAGTGTTGCCAACTTAGTGCTTTTAGCACTATTTGCGGTGCCTTTTGGTGTGCCAAACGCGGAAAATTTTGCTCATGGTGCCTTTTTTCAAAAAGGCACTACAGTGGTGCTTTCTAATTTTATGACAGTGCATTCAGTGCTTTTTATACCCACCATCAAAAAAGATGAGTGGGGTATATTGATTTTGTCACTCCGTTTGTAACACATCGAAATATTGGTCGTAGACCCACAAAAGTATATATATTTTGGGTCCTTATTAAATTCTAAGCCGATCTAACCATGTCCATCCGTCTGTTCATCTGTCCGTCTGTCTGTTGAAAGCACGATAGGGTTAGATCGGAAAGAGCAAGCGAGTTAAATTTTTCCACAAATATTTCTTATAGGTAAGGTTTGTTTGGTATGGCAAATGGGCAATATGGGTCCGCAATTTCGCATATCCCCCATACAAGTGACCCCCCGAAAAACAGCTTTAACAGTCACAACTGTTTTAAACATACGAGTATAGCGATAAAATTTGGCATAAATAAGTTTTATATGCGTCAAAATCTCTGTACCAAATTTTATGGGAATCGGTCCAAAATTGACCCTACCCCCCATACGAGTATAGCGATGAAATTCAACATAAGTAAGTTTTATATAAGCCAAAATCTCTACTAAATTTTATAGAAATAGGTCTATAATTGAGCCTACCCCTTCAGAAAATGATTTAAACGGTCATTACTGACTTAAAAATACGAGTATAGCGATGAAATTCGGCATAAATAAGTTTTATATAAGGCAAAATGTCTCTACCAAAATTTTATAGGAATTGGTCCATAACTGACCTTACCCCCAAATAAGGTCTCCCTATGAGTGCAGCGTTGAAATTCAACATAAGTAACTTTTATATGCATCAAAATTTCTCTACCAAATGACATTAATACTCATTACCGACTTAAAAATATTCGACATAAATATGTTTTATATAAGCCAAAATCTCTCTAGCAAATTTTACGGCAATCGGTCCATAATTGACCCTACCCCCATACTTAAAAATACGAGTATAGCGGAGAAATTCGAAATAAACAACTTTTATACAAACGTAATCTTCCTACCGAATTTAATTCGGATTTTTCGGTAACCTACCCTACCCCCTATTAAGGTCCCCTTAAAAATATGAGTACAGCGATGAAAATTGACAAAAAATAAGTTTTATACAATTTTTTTACACAATTGAACCTATCCTTAATATATAAAGCCTCCATGATTACTTCATCGTTGTACTCGCAATAAAAAGATTTTTATTATAATTCTTTATTCCGAATTTTATGACGATATAACTGACCAACAAAACAAAATCTATGTACAAAATTTTATGGGTATCGATATATAAACTTAAAAATAATATATATAGATTTTGCAAAAAAAATATATTTTACACAATTTTACAATTTGGGTGTGGTTACATCGGTTCGCCAGTTGGTAGTGTGCCTGTCAGTTTGAATGTTTAATGACATTTTACTATTTTTAAAATAACTTTTAAACAAATCAAGGAATTTGAAAATTTCTCATCTTATTTATCTAATATTCGTCAAACATTAGTTTTAGTTCTTACGTTACTAAAAATCTAACTCACACAGATGAAAGACTTTAGTATGACGCATGTTTTGTTTTGTAGTCAATGTTCTAAAAAACGAATTTTGGAGTCTTGTAGGAAATGAGCGAAATAATGTGCAATTTTTATTAAAATAAACAATATTTGACTAAAAAACGTTGGTGCTTTTTTACCCATTTTCAGTTAGAAAATTACGCTTTTTTACCCCTTTTTAATTTTTTTGCGCGCGTTTTGCTTGACCAATGTTGGCAACACTGTTTCTTATATCTCTTTGTGGATAGAGAGATAAAAATTTGAAGAGACTATGGGAAAAAAATAAAAACAAAACAAATAAAATGTATAAACAACAAGTTTATCTTTTTTTGGATTTTTTTTTTTGCTTTGTTTTTGTTGTTAAATTTCCAGCTGATTTGTCATAAAGTTACGAGTTGATGTCGTCTTTTCTGGTGAAAAGTTTCGGCTTTTTTATATACATATACATACGTGTGATAATAAAAAAAACATATGATTTTTGTTTTTGCTTTTACTTATAGTTTTGTGAATTGTTTTGTTTTTGTGCAAAAAAACAACAAAAGCAACTATTTCTATAAAAATGCTATTGTTGTACAAGTTTTTATCAATATACCTATAGCAATTGTTATTTGTTTAATGTGTGATTGTGTAGCCAGATTGTTTGTTTTAATTTAATACTTTATTGGGGAAAAATAATTCATAAATTAATTAAAATTTCTTCAACTACTCAACTAAATAGGCATCTTTTTACCATGTTGGTTCAGGAACCTCTCTGCTATCCTATGTACTTCTCCTCATCAGAGAACAGTGCTATATTCTTAAAACTCTTTATCCCCAATTAGTTTTACTTAATAATTAAAAGATCACTAAGATTGAGTTCATTCAACATTTCTTAGCACGAGCTTCAGAGAACGTAAATAGCCCATTTACCAATGTAGTTTGGAGTACATATGACCTATTAGAACATACAGCTATGAACAGCTTTTTTTCCTAAACATTGACCGTTAAAGGCCCAATAAATCAGGATCAAACCATTGATCAGGATCAGTTGCTTTAATAAGTTATCCGAGTAACAACTAATATAGGTATACCAAGATGCGGATCTTGGCGTAAGCGTAGAAAGATAAAATCAAAGAGAGTATAAGCGAGATGTGATAGATTCTTGTTTTTATTCAGAGCTTTCTCCTCAGTGGAATCCATATATTTTCATATTGAAGTATGAAAGACTTTAAATGTATTACATATTACAGAATCCGTCAAAGACAAAGATTGTTAACACAAAAACAACTGTATTCAAATAAACATTTTCCCAGGAAAAGCTTCATTACATGTACATATGTAAAAAAAAACTAAAAAGACGATAACTGTTGTAGAGCAGGTCGCTTTGGCTAGGGAACAGCACAACTAATCAGAGGTTGATCATATCTTCCGCATGACTGTAGCTTATCTTCCGAAATGATTAATTATGAAATCTCTAGCGCGACATACAATAGTCGATCATGTGAAATGTTTGCTACATATATCAACTGATTGACCAATGTCAAATCCAAGATCACTCCTTAATGTTTGTATGATCAATTGTTTAACATCTAATGTTAGGGATCCTCTTCTAATAAATGAATTGGCAATTTATTATCAAAAGTTATCACGAACAGAGATGTTGTGATCATTATAACTTTGAAGTTATAAATTAGAAGAGAAGAATTTTAAAACGAGAAAGAGGTGTGAAACTAATTAAAGAGTTACTACTTCCAAACCAATTACTTTGCCCGATATAGGTGTTTAAGCAATCTATAAATCTAATGCTTGCTTATATTCCCTGGCAATGAAATTGATCAATCGGATTTTCTCTATCTTGACAACTTGTATATAAATAACTAAGAAGTAAACCAAGTCTTGTCCGAAGTATCTGATATATTCTTATCGGACTTCAGGCAACTCAGCGTTTTTAAGAAATTTTTATTTGCTGGACTATACTGGTGTATCTTTATCTGTTATGGATTTAATCGTAGTATGACCATCTTCATGTACTTCAACATAGTCTGACTATCAGTACATACATATGTATATGTATATTCAAATTTCTTTTTTAATTAAACCAGAAAAACTGCATACTTTTGGGATTCTAAAATTCTGAATAATGAATAGATGAAGGTCTGTAAAGATCATTAATGTAGTGATAACAATACAGCAAATAAATCTGTTAAAGCTATTAGGTTCTTCTACTTTTTGGGTTTTTTTATATAAAAATGTGGGGTTATTTCTGGCAGCATTGCACTTTTGTTATTACAAAGTTATAACCATTATTTTGCTAGTAGTTGTTGGAGATTTATGGTTTTGCCTTTTTTGTTGTTATTTTTTTCACTTCTTTTTTTTTTGTATTTCATACAGTCATTCGATAGAAAAATCAGTAGTAGACGCGGACGACGCATGAATGCAATAAAACACAACACACTCAGACGGTCGGTCGGTCGGTCACCGGCAGCAGATAAAGAGATGGGTCGGGACCCGACGATCGTTGCGAATATGTATGTGAATAACAGAGCTAACTGCTTTCTTAAGTATTTCATATATTTGCTTTTTTGTACTCATTCTTGTTTTGGCTGTCAAAGTGTTTAAAACAACACTTTTCTACAATACGCTAAAAGAAATAATAATAATAAAGAAATAAAAAAAAAACAACAACTAACATCTGTGAGTTGATGATTCGCGTTATGTGTCGTCCGTCGTCGATGTAATTGTCTGGCACAAACGGTCTAATCTTAAATTCTTTCGTTAGTTCGTTGGTTGCTTGTAATAACATTTCCTTATACCACACCACCGGATATAAAAGAAAAACAAACAAAAAAAATTCTAAATTAAATAAAACATTTGTTTTCGTTGCGCGTTAACGCTTTTGATTATTGAATAAAAATAGACAAATAATTTTGTAAATTATAATAATTATTACACACACCATTAACTTAAGGTATAAGGTGCCTTTTGTTTTTGTTGTTATTTTGTGGGCAAATTACCAACCAGAGATTGTGTTTAAAAGTGAGAGAAGAAGAGAGAACATTAAACTTGTAACGTGTTGGAGACGCGTGTGTTAATACCTAAATTTAGTGGCCCTCCGGTTTAAGTGGCATTTTAATGCCAACCGGCGGGTGCCAGTTAGTTATTTAACAAAACTGTTGAAGGCTGTAAAAATAATTGTTGTTTTTTTAATCATTTAAACAATAAATTGTTTTCTTATGTGTTTAAACATTTTGTGGTAATTATATACTTTTTCCTTTTATTTTATATATTTTTTTAATAATTTTTACAAGTAATTTTTTTATTACGCGCAATATGTTGAAACCCCCATATATTTTTAAATACTTGTTGATTGTGGCAAAAAAAAAAAAAAAAAATAATTATGTTTAATTGCAAAAAACAAAAAGAAGAAAAGAAACCTGCTGATGTGAAAGTATTATTTAAAATTGACACATTTATTTTTTTCTGCTGAAAATTAATTATGTGGTTTTAAGCATCAAATTTTGTTTAATGATAAAATATTTCGGGTATTTTGTTGCATTTAATATTATTTCTTTATAAAATAAATATTTTTTTATGAAATGACACATCTCGGGGAATTTCTATAGTGCTCGTTGTGTTGTTAGAGCTACTTTTTTTTGCTATTTACATACTTTTAATACAGTAGAGGGCGTTTGTTATAAGTACAGTATTTTATTTTTATTTTTTTTGTGATTTCTAATTATTTACGTGATTTTAACCATTTGGACGATATTGTTTGAGCAACAGATCTCGCATTCAAGAACTATATTATAGGCAAAAGTGCAAACACATTCAAACTGATTCTCACAAGCTTCTTAGACATCATGATTTGATCACCTATGGATCTTGCTCTTTCCATATCCAATTTAATCAATATCTCGTCTAAATCCCAGCATAGATCATTGTCGAATCTAGCCTATTTCTTTAGTTTTTTAGGTTTTTTTTTTATGTAATCCTCTAACAACAGAAGTACTAAAGTGTTTAATGCTTCAATATAAGAATTCCACTGAGGAGAAAGCTCTGAAGAAAACCAAGAATCTATCATATATCGATCTTGGTATGTATATAGAAGTTGTTACTCTGCTAACTTATTAAAGCATAGACGATATCTAACTGATCTTGATATATGGTCAATGCTTAGGAAAGAAAGCTGGACATAGATGTAAGTTCTTGTAGGTGTTAAGTAGTCCAAACTCTCTTAGCACGAACTTCGGAGAAGATGTTAAATGAATTTATTCTTAGTGATCTTCCGATTATTTTAGCATAATAACTCATTTGGTGATACTAGCTCTATTAAGATAGCACTGTTCTCTGATGAGGAGAAGTATATAGGTATATCACTGCAAAATTCTTTCAAAGTCGTATAGCAGAGAGGTTCCCGAACCAGAATGGTAAAATAATGCCAATTTAGCTGCATAATTGAACAAATTTTAATTAGTTTATGAATTATGTTCTATAATACCCCAACTTAACGCATCTTCTAACTGCACTGGTGCAGATCATTCATATCCATAGAATATTGATATTTTCTTCTTGGAATTGGTCGTGATTTGTTCGCCTACAAATCTTAATCATTTAAGGCCTTAATCATCATGAAAAACGAGCTGTTTACTATCATGTTGCTAACTTTTTGTGTGTTTGGCAAAGACCGTCCAAACTGTCGTAGGTAAACTTTAATATTTCCATAAGAACCATTTAGTTTCATACAATCTCGTCGATTTCTATATCTTCTTGCGATGGCCGTCATCTGAGTAGTTTTCTTATTCATTAAGAACATGGACAGCGCCAGAGAAACTTTTAATAATGCTTAACTCCATGAGTAACATTTTAGCTATAACCACATCCATGTATTCTAAAAAGTCTGCAACAAAAGTCGCTAATGGTTTTGCTAAATAAGATTTCTGTAAACGACAAGTTTCTTGAACTATATATGTTTTTTTGGCAAGATTTCTTCTGTCTACTGTCCCTCATACTTTCGCTTCTTATAGGTTTGGAGTCCTGTTCTTAGGTTTGATCTCGATGACAGAAGGATATGACCTAATAGTGAAATATATTGCAGTCTATGAACAAGGATTTCTCCAACCTTTCAACCTTAACCCTATTTTTGAGACCGGCCCATGTCTTGAACTTTATCCTTCTTTGATCAGTTCTAAATGTCAAGACTAACAGAATGGCAAGATTGTTTTCTAAGACCTGCGCTAATGTAAATCAAATTGCTCTTTGGCAATACAATAAATTTTTGATATATTACATCTTAGGTCAATTATATCTCAGGTCAATTTGTACTGCTTTTACATCAAAATTTCAATAAATATTTTCTTATTTCATTTCAATAACTTGCAATCTTTTGGAAGCGTTATCAAACATTAGCAATATAAAAAAAATATTAGGGAATTTTCCTCTTGCGATTAATGTTTTCCAAATGAATTGTTAATTTATGGAATATTTGCGACGTATAGTGAAGTTTCATAATATAAAAAAAGTAATAAATCACAATGGGAAGCGTGTGAGAAATTGAATTTTTAAACAATTATATCGGGATTATTCATCAATTATATAAATTGAATTTATTCAATTAAAAACTTAAAATATTTTTGGAAAAATCTTTTTCGTCATAAGTTTTGATAACAATTTCTTTAAGACTTTCCACACTTGACAAAATTTGATAACATTATTCAAAATTACCTGATAACATTTATTTATTTTTTTTGTTGTTGATACATATGTATTTAAGACATTAAGTTTCCAAAATTAACTCAAATTGCAATGGCGTTGTCTGCAACGCATTTTCAGAAGTTCAATGCCAATGTCAGCTATAAATTTTAAATATTATGCACAAGCAAGGAATTTTCCTATTAATAAAATAGCACTTTCGATTCCACCAATTTATGTACATATATATAAAAAAACATCAACATAAACATAAACATTAACTATTTGGCACTTTGCCAACTTAAACATAAATGCGTAATTAAAGGTGTTGTATTTTTTCGGAAACGATACGATCACCTAAAACTGGATTTTTATAGAAAATTGATTTCTCTGTTCTCTTATCTATTGGGGTACAAGTTCCAAATTATTGTCTGTAGGTTTTTATATTTTTGAGACTGAGTGTTAAATATCAAAACAAAATAAAAATTAGCATTTATTAGTGTATTGGTAATATATTTTGAATGTTTTTTTTATTTTGTTTATTTTCTATTTGTATTTTTCTATATAATATTTTTATTTGTTTAAATATATTTTAATTATGTTTTATTCAAAAGTTTTGAACTTAAATAGCGTTTAGCTTGCGGAAAATATGTCTAATATTTTGTTGTTGTTATCATGTGTCATTTTTAAATCAAATATTTTTTTTATATAAAATATTTCTATCAAAACAAAAGTATGACTATAAACTGTTGTTTGGTGTTTTTTAATTATTTATTTGGGTTTTTATTATATACATAAGTATATACTATGTTAGTTGTATATAAACAAAATTTTATAAAATAAGTATATAAACAGAGTGTTAAATGTATGTATTTGTTTTAAATGTTAAAATCATATTTATTTAATGTTATTGTTATAATCCTAAACATCTGTCATAATAAAAGGCTGACAAAACCTAGATAATTTTGTTATTAACTGATGTTTAGAAGAGATTTGCATTTGGTACAAAAAAGTTCTATAACCTGTGACAAATTTCATATAAACTGGTTAGATATTTAGATAGATGGATAGATAGATAGATAGATAGATAGATAGATAGATAGATAGATAGATAGATCGATAGATAGATCGATAGATAGATAGATAGATGATAGATATAGATAGATAGATAGATAGATATAGCTCGATCGCTCGCTAGATCGCTAGATCGCTCTCGATCGATGCTCGCTCTAGATCGCTCGCTCGCTCGCTCGCTCGCTCGCTGCTCGCTTCGCTCGCTCCTCGCTCGCTCGCTCGATCGCTCGCTCGCTCGCTCGCTCGCTCGCTCGCTCGCCCGCTCGCCCGCTCGCCCGCTCGCCCGCTCGCCCGCTCGCGCGCTGCTCGCTCGCTCGCTCGCTCGCTCGCTCGCTCGCTCGCTCGCTCGCTCGCTCGCTCGCTCGCTCGCTCTCTCGCTCGCTCGCTCGCTCGCTCGCTCGCTCGCTCGCTCGCTCGCTCGCTCGCTCGCTCGCTCGCTCGCTCGCTCGCTCGCTCGCTCGCTCGCTCTCCTCGCTCGCTCGCTCGCTCGCTCGCTCGCTCGCTCGCTCGCTCCTCGCTCGCTCGCTCGCTCGCTCGCTCGCTCGCTCGCTCGCTCGCTCGCTCGCTCGCTCGCTCGCTCGCGCGCTCTCTCCCTCGCTCGCTCGCTCGCTCGCTCGCTCGCTCGCTCGCTCGCTCGCTCGCTCGCTCGCTCGCTCGCTCTGCTCGCTCGCTCGCTCGCTCGCTCTCTCCCTCCCTCCCTCCCCCCCTCGCTCGCTCGCTCGCTCCCTCTCTCTCTCGCTCGCTCGCTCGCTCGCTCCTCGCTCGCTCGCTCGCTCGCTCGCTCGCTCGCTCTCTCCCTCCTCGCTCGCTCGCTCGCTCGCTCTCTCTCTCGCTCGCTCGCTCGCTCTCTCTCTCTCTCTCCTCTCTCTCTCTCTCTCTCTCTCTCTCGCGCTCTCGCTCGCTCGCTCGCTCGCTCGCTCGCTCGCTCGCTCGCTCCTCGCTCGCTCGCTCGCTCGCTCGCTCGTCTCGCTCGCTCGCTCGCTCGCTCGCTCCTGCTCGCTGCTCGCTCGCTCGCTCGCTCGCTCGCTCGCTCGCTCGCTCGCTCGCTCGCTCGCTCGCTCGCTCGCTCGCTCGCTCGCTCGCTCGCTCGCTCGCTCGCTCGCTCGCTCGCTCGCCTCTCGCTCGCTCGCTCGCTCGCTCTCTCGCTCGCTCGCTCTGCTCGCTCGCTCGCTCGCTCGCTCGCTCGCTCGCTCGCTCGCTCTCGCTCGCTCGCTCGCTCGCTCGCTCGCTCGCTCGCTCCTCCTCGCTCGCTCTCTCGCTCGCTCGCTCGCTCGCTCCTCGCTCGCTCGCTCGCTGCTCGCTCGCTCTCTCGCTCGCTCGCTCTCTCGCTCGCTCGCCGCTCGCTCGCTCGCTCGCTCGCTCGCTCGCTCGCTCGCTCGCTCGCTCGCTCGCTCGCTCGCTCGCTCGCTCGCTCGCTCGCTCGCTCGCCCGCTCTCTCCCTCCCTCGCTAGATAGCTAGATAGATAGATAGATAGATTTTTGCCAAAATAA